CACAAGTCACAAGTGACGAGGCAGCATGGAACCGGCTTCTTGGCCAATCAGGAGGCCGGGCAGCGTGTAATGCCTCGCTGCCCGGCTTCCTGATACCGGAAGTATCGGGCTAGGTATTGGAGCATTTGGGCGAGTACGAGTAAAGAAAAGGTTTTTTTTTTTAGTAATATATAGTTATTGCCTCTTTTTTATACTGCTGTTCAGATGAATGGAAAGGTGACACAGAAACCCTCATAGAACTTCTTGTGTAGATTGTGCGTCTCCCTGTGCGGAGCACACTCCAACTAATGACATGTTTCCTGCCCTGCAGCCTCGCTCTGGCCGTCAGTCCGCTGCCGATGAAGGTCCCGGTGCACTGCGTGTCTGTCACCAAGGAGAACAGCCATATCCTGGTGGGTCTGGAGGACGGGAAGCTGATTGTGGTGGGAGCCGGGCAGCCGCTGGAGGTAGGTGGTGGACTGATTCCCCTTTAACACGTCTCCTCTCTTCTTGTATGAGTCAGTCGGCAGTCACTTGTTAGGCATTTGGGTGTATCTAAAGTGCATCTAGTTTTGGATTAAGTGGGGAGCAATTAGAACCCCTGTCATCATATTTGTATTGCTGTACGTGTCCCTGCTGGGGAAGATTCACCCTCTGTGATTGTCCTAGTGTCACCGGTATAGAAAAGTGACACCAGGACAATAAAAAGTTGTCACCAAAACAAAAATTGAGGGGAAATCTTTCAATGGGGACACCTGTTCCTGGTGGCAACATTCTAAGATGGGAGTTCCCCTCTTATTTGTATATGGATTTCCTCTCACTTCCTGTTATGCCTTATGGGACAGAAAGGGAAATCTTCCCAACAGGAATCAGACGGCAAAAAGCAAACCAATATACTATATGTATATATATTTATTGTGATGCGTCCGGTGAGAGTGATTGATTCCTAACCGCATGTAATCATATCACATACATGTGGTGTGCCGGCATTCAAAGGCAGCTGCTGTCACCCAATCATTGACTTGAACGGGTGACAGCCGTTGCTTGTAAACGGAAGTTCCTGATGCAGAAGTCCCTAAACGCACCTAAAGAGGTTTGAATGAGGCCTTACACAGCAACTCCCGGCTGTCATTCTGACAGTCAGAAATTGCTGG